GTCTTGGGGGGGGGGCAGACTGGCAAGGCCTGCCTCCCCACAGCCGTCTATTAACCCCAAGGGGCACGGGGGCAGGAGTTGGTACGAAGCCAGGGCGTGTCCACACACCGGTGGGCCATGACTCCGTACCTTTAGGGCCTCCTGCTGCTCCAAGAGTCTCCACAGTTCAGCCACAGTTTCCATGGGTGGCCACGAGGAGGCACTGCAGAAGTCTTGATGATGATGAGGCTATGAGCTGGCAGGGGAGTCTTATGCAAAGCTGCTCCCTTTTCGCACCAGGCTAGCCAGCGGTGGCAGCTGTAAGCGAGAAGGCATGCAAGCACTTAAATCTATCTAGGCTACAACACCATCGCTTCACATCACCCCGAGCATGAATCACCCACCCATCAATATATATATATATGTTATACACACACACATACACATATATATTTATTTATTTACACGCAAACACACTCACACACATATATACACCAAAAGAGTCGAAAATGAACGTAACGTTCTGAACTCGTCAATATATAGTTATGGGAGGGTGTGCGTGTCCCAAAGCAGTCTTAGGCCATTAGCGTTAACTGAAATATTTTGTTGCTTTTAGATTTCACCAATGACAAAAACATTGATATTTTCACTTTAATGCATTAGAGTCGTGGGATATGAGTGCATTATCGTGGGTATATCATTGCTAATGTTGTAGAGGAAGATTTGATTTCAGAAGACCTTTAATAACCGTATTGGTGTATGACCCCATGAGGACGCACGTGCCTTCTTCTGTACTAATATTAGTTTCTCGGATGAGGAACTCGTGTATATATAAATACAGCTTATATGTATATATATATGTATATAACTATATATACATATATACATATACACACTCACACAAACACACACAAACACACACACACGCACATATATACATAAATATATATATATATATATATATATATATATATATATATATATATATATATATATATATATGTATATATATATATGTATATACATACATATATATTCATATAATATAGAAATACATAGATAGATTTATAAATACATTTGAATTATACTATATATATGTAATATATATATATATATATATGTATATATACATATATATAATATATATATATGTATATAAATTTAATGTACATAATATATATATATATATATATATATATATATATATATATATATATATATATATATGTATATATATATATATATATATATATATATATATATATATATATATATGTATATATATATATATATATATATATATATATATATATATATATATACATATATATATATATATATATATATATATATATATATATATATATATATATATATATATATATGTATATATGTATATATAAGTATATATATGTATATACATTATGTATACAAATATATATTAATATATATAATATATATATATATGTATATATATATATATATATATATATATATATATATATATATATATATATATATATATATGTATATATATATATATATAATTAATATATAATATATATATAAATTATATATCTATCTATACATATATATATATATATATATATATATATATATATATATATATATATATATATATATATAAATACATACACACACACACACATATACGTATATATATACATATATATTCATATATAACGTATTACACAAATATAGAAATACATAGATATATTTATAAATATATTTGATATATAATATATATATGTAATATATATATATATGTATATATACATATATATAATACATATATATGTATATACATTTAATGTATATAGTATATATATATATATATATATATATATATATATATATATATATATATATATACATATATATATATATATATATATATATATATAT